GGGATAGAATTTGCATGGATCAGAGGATCCGGAGTAGCAGGAAGCCAAGTTCTAGGACGTGTGTGTCAGGCTCCACAGGTCGATGTATGCTAGGCTACTGATCTGAACTAACTAGATATTTGGGGACTTTGGACGTCGAGTGTATGTATGTCTGCACTGACACATCCTTCTTCAAGTACTTCTGAGGCTTTGGGCCTTTCGGCGATGGTTTCGGAAGCGATCGCCTCGGATCGATTTGCGAGCAATAATAGGTAATGAATCATAACATGGATCTGGAAGTGAACTTGAGTTAATTCAGACATCAGCTTGGGACAAAATTGCTACCCTAAACCCTGAACCCTAAAGCCAAGCCCGGAACCCTGCATCTCAAACCCGGCGTTGAACCCTAAACCTGAAACCCCAAATCTTGAAGTAATAAGCCCTAATCGCTGAGCTGTTTAAAAGAGGTTTGTGCCAGTGCAGTGAATAGGCATCGGGTAGGAAAATACGGGTGTCACCAGGTCTTAACGTGAAGCCGCCGTAGTACCTGCTAGCTTACCCAGAAGATTGAAGGGGACTTGGGGCACGGGGTCAGGTTAGTAGTGAAGCCGGCCGAGCTGGCTTGAAACACTGACTGCAGCGAAGGCTGCCAGTCGCTGCCAGAGCGTGGGCAGATCTCATCACGCCGCACCACACCAGGCGGAGCACTGAATGCCTTTCACGCTTCGGCGAATGAGCCAAGGTTTTCGAGAAACAGCATTGGTGCAGATACCCCGAGATTACGGCAAGAGGACGCGATCCCAGGGATCGGTTGCCGAGGGGTCCAATGGCAGAGGGCTTTCCCTCCGTGCACCGCGCGGCTCCGGCCCGACGCAAGAGATGGCCCAATGGCCGAGGAATCCTGAGGTTCGTGAGTACTTGATTCACAAGCCCTGGATTTTCTTGCCTGATGAGAGACCTTCAGCGAGAACACCGAGACCGCCGAGATCGCAGGGTAGGCTTAGGCCCGAGCCCTTACACCCACTCTCACCGTCAATAAATGTAAGACTAGTAGGGCATGTTGGGGGTCTGATCTTCACTGTGTTCTTCTTGGATTTCCAGTGTAGTCATTTAACTTGTCGGTGCTTCAAACCGAAGCCTCTCCCACCCTAATCTGTACTTTAATAAACCCTCAACCCCAAACCCTACTACCCTAAAACCTAAACCGCCAATCTGCTTGCAAAAGCTCCTCCTGAGTGCAGTTTAGGGTTTAGAATTTTAGGCGTGAGATTTTGCAGCATGGACAATAGGATCATTTTCGCAGGGATCGTAACATAGACTGCATGTAAGACGCAGCGACGACCTGATCTCCTCAATCTAAAGTTAAGTTATTAATTACTAAGTTCGCATTGACAAGCCGTTAGTTAAAGTTAAAGCGGATTTCCATCCGAACTCGCCCTCGTTCCTTCCATCCGAACTCGCCCTCGTTCCTTCAGGCCCTCTTAGAATTGAATCCCAAACAGACCAGAATTTGTGAAGGCACGGGTAGCCACGGTTAGTTTCCAGGTCAGGCCGTTCAGGGGTAGTCCAGCAAACACGGCAACCCAAGACGAAACTACTGCCCTGAGCCCGCGGAATCACGTCTGCCCGAGGGTTCCCCGAAGAATCATTTGGGACTAGTCTGTGGCCTTTTCTCTGTTGAAATCCTTGGGAATCTATTCAGCACTAGGCTTCCGGGCAAGGGCTCAGGAGCTTCAGTGTCCGGGTCTCTGTCACTGAGGGATTTGAACGACGTTCTGCGACTAGAAGGGCATAATGGGGTTCTAAGGCGTCGTAGTTATAATTTACTGGCTTGCTCCTCAGGGATTTCTTGCTTTGCTTGGCGTGGTTTAGATAATAGGTTGAGGCTTAGCTTTGAAGTCCCTATTATTAAATAAACCCTAAACCCTACCCTATAATAAGCCCTAAGCCCTAAACCCTGGACCTTAAATTATATCTCTAAGTCTAAGCCCTGAACACTCAACATCTCTGAACCCCAATTGGCCACCAAACCTTCTCGCCGCCAGGTGTCAGGCGAGTTCTCGCCCTCGCCCGCGGAAATGCAGTCCTCGAAGGCGGGCTCTCTGACAGGGATTATTAATATCCGCCTCTTAATATCCGTCTTTGAAGGATCCCACGGCAGAGAGAGAAGTTGGGGATTTATGTGAACATGGCCTTGCCATGCCAATGACATTGCTCAAAACCCTGTGCCCAGGCCTCGGCGTCCTCGTCCGACTCAAGTTGATTGACCACTGGACTGCGGACAGGTGAATGATTTGGGCATTCTGGTTTTGGTCCGTTAGTGTGTAAGTTAAGTGACATTCCGGTTTGTGATTAGTGTGTAAGTGACGAGTCCCGCAAGCTAAACATCAAATCCTGTAATAATTTTATAAGAAATGGGCCCCGGCACATGCGTACTGCTTGATGCTAATGTCTTCAGTGTGTTGAGAACTCGTGTGTAGGGTAGTAAACGCTGGAGTTGGGTTGTGGCCATGTCGGCATTTAAGGTTATTCGAATTGCTGGATTCTCTGCATTTCAGAGGGGTAATGTATCGATTCAAGTTATTTACTCCTGGGATTTGCCTGGACAGGAGAACCCTATGTAAGAACCAACATCACTGCGGAACCAAGCCCTTAACTTGGCCCGCTTGCGATGAATGACAGGGAGTATTCCCCTTTCATTAGCCCAGTATCCTTAAGAAGCCCCTGGGTTTGGAGCACGGAACACGGACGGAAATAATTCAGTGCCCTAAGCCCTAAACCCCGCTGCCTTGCATTTGAAGCTGCAGCTTGGCAACCAGAGCCAGCCATGTCTTTCATAGACGTTCCACAAACTGTGGGAGAGCCGGAACGAAAGAGACTGCGCGCACAAGGACACCACGGCTGGGCACTGTCACTGTCACAGCTGTCTCCAGTCACTGGTGGTGCGAATGGGCCGCATGGAGGCCTTATAAGAGGCTGTGAGCCAGCGCGCCAGTACATTGTCGTCAGGGTGGCAGTAGCACATCTGCCGGAAGTTCGACCAGCGCGGCTGGCTCTCATTGCGGGCACCTGCCGGGGACAGGCTTTGCCCTACAACGTTGCCGAGACTGCGGCACGATTTCAGGCGGTGCTGTACCAGTCAACAGTGGCATCCGACATCGAGATCCTGGCGCCTAGGGCTTGAACCCGATCCCTATGAAACCCATTTAATTTAAACCTAAACCCTAAACCTTGCGTAGACTTTGATGATGTAATGGATTGGATTTGGGGTCTGAGTCTAGGCATTCGTGATTCGGGTTTTCATGCCCGCCCTGCAGCTTGATTCAAAACAGCGTGTAAATTATCCGCTTAAATGTAACTTATTATTATTCGCGCGCTTACACAGCTTTCGAACCCTAAACCCTAAGCCCTAAACCCAAACCCTAAAGCCTTTGCCATTAAATGATAAGCCTGTTCGAAAGTGACAAGCTTCCCACTTCTGCCCTCGACCTCGAAGCCCCAAGCTCGCCATAGGCCCTCGACCTCGAAGCCCCAAGCTCGCCATAGGCCCTCGACCTCGAAGCCCCAAGCTCGCCACAGAAACGTTCTCCCCACATCGAAGCCACAACTCAGATTACCCATGAGAGTGATTCAAGCTTTAAGGTGTAGGCTTTCCTTGCTGTCTTGAGACTTAGGCCCCTAAGTCCGGAACCTCACCCCAAATTTGCTGCTAGTCCACCTCCCAGGCCTCAAAATTTAAATTAATTCTCTACACCCCTAAACCCTAAACCCGAATGCAATTTTGGCCATGCGGCAGGAGCTTTCTGGCAGGTTCTGGCGGCTCACCCCATGCCACCAGGGGCAGGGGAAAAAATGCGTGTGAGTTTTCTGTGCGGACTACAGGTGTGCAAAAGCTACTACTGAGCACCAATGACTATGATAGTCATTGGTGCTCAGTAGTAGCTTTTATTTGGAAGAGTGCTTTTTGTCGTTTGTACTGCCAAGGTTTGTCCTACTGCAGCAGCAGAGTCAGCCGACGCGTACGAAAAAGAACAGTCGTGTTTGCTGCATGCTGTGTTTTTTTTGGGGGGCTTTGTAGTTCTTATCGATTCTAGCTATTGGCCCTAGAAACGCAAAAAAAGGATTTCCTTTTATCTGCCTGGCCACTAGAACACAATCCCGGTCCGGGCGTTGAGCGTAGCTGTGAGAACAGAGCCACGCTTTTGGTCGCCGGGCCTCACGCCGGCCTTTCCTTTGCTCTGGGTCGTTTTACCCACAGGCTCCATAGTAGTTCCTTTTGGGGATTACCTTAGAGGATTCTATATATGAGCCCCAAAAGCAACTATGGAGCCTCTAGGTAGGTAATCGTAGGCCCGAAGGGGTTCAAGGTCCAAAAACCATTCAGAGAATGGAGTTTGGGACCTGAAACCCTACTATTTGGGTAGGACCCTCTTGGAGGAATACTGAGTATAGTCAGTTTTATTAATAACCATGAGAGTGGCAATGGTGATGAGTGATGATGATAGTCACAACTATGAAATGGTGAAGGTCAGATCAGCAAACAACGGTGACAAGCAGGGTTTGACTAACATGAACAGTAATGCTAAGATAATAGTCATCGTCACCGGCTGGTTGTAGCAACAACAGCCATGACTATCGTGTTGTCCGCCATGACAGTCGTGCACTCATGGCGACAGTAAGTAGTACCCAACATCGTCATCGCCTATCTCGCTTCTACTGCCACCTCTACAACACCTGCTGCAGCTACTACTAACAGCCACAACAACAACAACTACTACTACTACTACTACTGCTACTGCTACTGCTACTGCTACTGCTACTGCTACTACTACTGCTACTACTGCTACTACTGCTACTACTGCTACTACTGCTACTACTGCTACCGCTACTCCCACTACGACTCCACTGCGAATTGTCACAGCAATGATATGAACACGTCTGAGGCTCCAGTACGCAAAATAGTAGGTTACTGGGGTATGAAAAAATTCTGGCTCGTATCGTGAATGAACACCTTCCTCCAGGAGGGCCTCAAGTCCGCCAACGAGGCCTTGCGAATCAGCGAGGACGACCAAGATCGACGCGGTCAGGCGCGAGTTTTCGCTCTAGAGGGCTCCTCAAAATGCCTCCAAAAAAGCTGAACTCCACGTCACGAAAGCATCAGGGCTTGAGGTCCAGGGATTCGAGCTCGGATTTTGGGGGCAATGGAACAAGTTCTGACAGACCGAGGCCTTGGCTTTACATGCCTTACTTACCTTTGGTTAGTAGGGAATGGAAGAATGGAAATAGTAGTAGTTATAATTGTACCCCATTCCTCCATTCCCTACCAACCAAAGGTCAGAATCTGAAGTAGCGTTTTCGCACCTCTCATCAGAAGATTGAATACACAGACTCAACAGCATTTCAAGGGAGCCCGTCTATATGGAATCCTCACACCGTCCGTGCGATAAATCCTACTTCAGGCGGCAACTCAGACCTTAGCGCGACTAGGCTGCGGCTCTGGTGACCATTGGAGAGATCTACTCCATGAACGGAAAGAAGGAGGAGGCGAAGAAGGCGCGCCAGGTTTCGATACAATTTCGGGGTGCTGATTTTCCTAGCAGGCTGACACCGCTGCGAAACCCTCCCCCCACCTAGTCTTTAAGGCCTGGGGCTTAGGAGTTTTAGGACCGAGGGTGAGTTCAATGGTGCTTCAGGCAGATGCAGTAAGTTTGCACGCATGATCCGATGAGGCTCTGAGGGGTTGAGGACTACTCTCGAATCCAACAAGAATGACAGATACTGCGGCTTCGATACTTTCGGTATGTGTGGATGCAAGCAAGAACGAGAAGGTCTGATTGGGAAGTCCCGCAACCTCGAACCATAAGCCATAAGCTTCATGCTAACTTAGAAGCCTCACACTTCGACCCTAAAGCCCTTAACCCTAAATCCCTAAACCCCTGAACCCCAAGCCCAACAAATCGCGGGGAGCCCTGCGCAGTTCGCCTACAAGTCCCTGGACATCGCCCAGAAGCTGAAAGATCCCCAGAGCGAGGATGCAGCCTTGCCAGAGCCCTCGGAGGGAGGGCCAAAGCTTCGAGGGTTCTAGGGTGTGGGGTTTAGGGTTCTAGGGTTCTAGGGTTTGGGGTTCTGGGGTTTAGGGTTCTACAGGGTTTAGGGTTCTAGGGTTTTGGGGTTTTGGGTTCTAGGGTTCGAGGGTTCGGGGTTTAGGATCTACCGGGGGTAGTATCGGGCTTGGAGGAGTTCGGAATGGTAGACCCTTCCTGTGTATGAAATTGTCGCATCATGTAGCTCTTAAGCTCTCTGCTGGGCATGAAAGCGCCGGTGTTCTTTTGAGGGTTGGTGGTATAAAGGTGCCATAAAGGGTGTAAAAGTGACCCAAAGCCTGAAAAGTCCAGGGCTCTGTAAGGTTTGTATAGGTGTTCGGCCTTAGGATATGAGAGCTCTATAAGAAGTTTCGTAGGTTCTCGGGTTTAGGGGTTTAGGGTTTAGGGTTTAGGGTTCGGGTGTAAGGATCATGGCTCTAAGGGGTTTAGTTAGCGCTTCTAGTTTCAGGTTCAGCGCTGACAGGTTTGGGGACTTGATCACTACGAATTGCCCCAGGATGCCAGTGCATATATTTGCACACCGACATACACGAAATCTCGTGCAGATACGTGTCCTTGATCCGAAACATGAGTTGACCAAGTACTTGTGAGCGATAACCATCGAGAATCCTGATCTTTTGAAAATGTCATTGCGAAGATGCTCTTGAAGCATGAGGTGTACTCAAGTGTACTCCGTACGTTAGGGGCATCGTGCTTCGGGCACCCCAAATCAGCAAACTTCGCTGGCCCATAAATGGAAAAGTCTGCCAATGCCTGGCACTTGCGCTGAGGCAGTTGCTGGAGCACATCGAAGGAAAAGGCAAGGGCAAGCAGGACTGAAGCCGACCCTACTGTAAAGAAGGCACAAAGTCGGATGAGTTGACTCTCAGAGTACTATGACGTGTTACAGTCATTCACACGCTGCACGATCTCTTGTTCTCTCTCCCTCTCCGTCTCGCTCTCTTCTTTTTCTCTTTGCATTACATCTCTCTCTATCACTCTCGCTTTCCCTCGATCCGTCTCCCTCTCGCCCTCCCTTTCTCTCTCTCGCTCTCTTGCTTTCTCTTTTATCTAACTATCTGCGATGATCTTTCAGTCTCTCCCCCTCTCCATCGCTTATCTCTCCGAGGGTCTCCTTGTAGGTGGCACTGTAGTGTTGATGTATTTCAAACCTGTGCCAGCAACAGATTCTGTTCTCAGGACGACTACGTGCAGGCACGACTTGCAAGGGCGCATGGGAGCAACAGGTGTTGGCCATTCATGCACGGGTGTGTCTATTTTGTTCGGACATGCGTCCTTTTTACAAATACATGAGCCCATCCTAAATTTCCTAAATTTCAATAAAGCACAACATAAATACAGGTACATATATATATATATATATATATATATATATACATACATACATACAGACACGCACAGACACACAGACTGCTTTGCGATTTGTTCGGTGTGTGTTTACATACACAGACATGTACATCACACATCGGCGTGTGTACGCAGTAAACGCATGGTGCTTCTGGGAAAGGTTCCTGTTCTGCCCGAAGGACCTGTAGACCGCAAATGTCGAACAATCATTACTGTACAGTAGAAGCCAGAAAGTTGGCATATCATTACCGTAACCCCTTTAAGGTAAATTCTAGGGGATCCTACCATTAATCCATATTCCAACTTTCTGGAGTTCCCTTTAGTGCTTTGCCGTCCTTGATTCATCAACCTGAAGTGCATTTCATAGCACCTCTGGCATCTGAGAACATCAGGGATCGTTGTCTCAAGTCTTACAAGACACACAGGCTCATAAGAGTTTCCTAAGTCATCGGTAAGTAGAGTTAAGATAAAACACTGTCCAAACTGCAACTGTGCTTCCGTATACCGTACCTCCGAGTGCCTTGGGGGACTGTCCATCGCTGTGGAACACTGGAGCGCCAGACACCTGCCCTGCAGGTGCCCTAAACCCTAAACCCTAAACTCTAAACCGTAAAATTATGTGGAATAATGACCTTTTATAGGTTTTAGGCCATAATTTTGCCTACTTTGAGGGGTCTAGGTACAGTCGACATTGTAGTTCGTTCTAGAACCCTAGCCATAGACTTTGCCAGAAAAACGACCAGGAGCTTAATGAGGCACAGCCTGGAGGTGACCCTTCTCTAAGGCTCTTGGTTCTGTGTTCAATCCAAACATAGGGTTTCGTTATTCTTGTTTCAGGGGTTCAAGGGTCTATCTCGACCAAAAGTTATAAGGGAACTAGGGTATGAGGGAACCAAGTCAGAAGGGAAGTAAGATAAAAGGGAACCAAGTTATAAGGGAAATCTGGCATCAGTGCGACATGACTCGTCATCATTGTAGCAATCTGGGGCCACTGTAAGGAGGGAGATCGTAACTCGACTTTCGTTGTCCTAGAATGACACCAGCCATTGTATTGACAATAATTCTTATAAAGACGAGAATTAGCGAGAGACATAATGGCGATGATGACGAAAATACATACAATGATATTAATCTCTACCACCTTTGGCACCTTGCGAGGACACAGGGCCGGTGGCTGCAGGCCGGAAAGGGGTCCAGGATGCAGGTGTTCGTGAGGGCTTTACTGCTCTTAGGAGCTGCTTTATTTTTAACAAAATAATACCACTCCAAGAGATTACTAGAACTAGCACGCCCACTGTGGCACTGAGGGCGCCTAATCGGGGAGGCGGATGTTGGAGATGGCGCTGAAGTTGACGATGTGACTATATCACTGCTCATGATGATGCTAGTTTTGAGAATGACGCATGATTTTGATGTTGACAATTGCGATGCGGATAGTTGGTAGTTGCGATGCTGGTTACCTCTTACCGTTGTGACATCTGTTTGCTCAGGCTTAGACTACCTGAAGTCCTAAACTTCCATGCTCGATCGTTTGCTCAAACGATGGGTTCTGAAACGTACCTGGAGGCTTCCATCACCGCCTAAGTCTGTGGCTGGCTTCAAGCACAGGTCCAGCTGTGGGTTGTGGTGAGGATGATGACATAGCCTGTAGTACAAGCCATAGAAGCTACGCTGCAATGCCACGCGCACCTAGAGCCTGCCAGGCCCTCCTGGATCCTAAACCCGAAAAGCAAGGATTGAACTTCAACCACCAGGCTAGGAACCCGAAGCTCTAAAGGCGAAAGCGCACCCGAAACCCCACCACCAGAGTCCCTAAACCCGACCAGCCTAAACCGTACTACAGACCCTAAGCCCCCAAGCACTACGTAATATGCACATCCTGTCTAAACCGCGACTATACACCCGGAAGCCTACAACCACCAACGCCTTCTTCAGGCGATGCTGCGGCTGCCAGCAAGGTAGAGAGCGAACTTGGCCCCTACAAGGGACCGACTGCAGGGACCCTCAGATTTTCACATGTTTTGGTTTGATTAAGGGTCAAGTGTTTAGGGTTTAGGGTTTATAGGGTTTAAGGTAATCGTTTTTTCAGTGGCAGCTCTGAGTGATTTGTAAAGTAGTTCAGTTCCTAGCAGCTTAGCAGAGGGAGGAGTAGGAGCAGCAGTGATAGGGTAGTTGCAAAAAACAGCGGGAACTTCGGAAATCCCATACTTTATTAATTCCCCAGACCGCAAATCGTAGTCTACGATGTTTATGCACGGGTGTGTTTTGGGTAAAGCATATAGAGACTTTAGAATGGTTTAGAAGACTTTTTGTGTTATTTTGAACATAGAAGGTGCCTGCAGTAAATTGTTAGAGCCCTGAACGTTGCAGCAACATTATCCTCAACGACACTGCATCATCACCAACAAATACACAGCGTGTGGAGCGTGGAATGGCGCTATCACCTGCAACACCGTAGGTCCCACAAATTCCTATAGGCAGCAGTGCTCCATTCCTGTTCACCCCAGGCCGACACCCTCATCCCTCGCATCAACGACCTGGCGATGCAGTTGCAAGGGGCTTAGTACATGTCGATATCAAGCAGGACCCCGCGCGTTTTTTTTGTAGCTCGATTTCAAGCCATCTAAGTGCTTTGATTGTAGCTCATAGCTAAATAATATGAGGCTTGGTGGATGGGGGCTTTGGATCCCTCAAGAGTAGGCTTTGCAGTCTCAGGTGTCTTCCTTTGCTCTTTCTCTTGGGGTTTTTGCCCAAAAGGGAGTTGTGACAGACGGCTTGTGAGCAATCCGGAGCCTTCGGGTCAGCGTTGCCGACTTAGGGCCAAGGGCTTAGGGTTTAGGAATCAGTGGGGCTCAAAGCATAAAGCCTTGAAGCTTTAGAGCATGGCAGATCTGCTTGCACCCCGCCCTGGTGGATTCTTACAGTTGTAGACAGTCGTCTAGTTGAGTAGCCCTAGATTGCCCTTGAATGTTAATCGTACGAAACCACGCTCACCTTACTCGGTGCTACTGTGGAAACCTTGGCCTTGACCGAAAAACGTCCAACAATCGCATTCTTGAAACCGTACTGCGAACAAGCCAGGTAGTTTGGTATTTCGAACTGTGCCACCTGTGTTGCCCATCGTACCGCTAGACCCTCAAGTCCGAATGGAACTAGACCCTAAACCCTCAGAAAGAAATTAAATTCCCATGAAATTCCAGACAACAAGTCCCCTTCCAAATGCTATAACAGCTGTAGCAATCTCTTTTGGAGCGATGTCTGGGCTGAGGGTACAGGTCGACGAGCTTCATCAGGACAGCACTTACTATGCTAAACTTTACTATGCTATACTAAACTATACTAAACTACACTGTACTAAACTATGCTATATACGAGGTTAGACTAGGCTGTACTATACTGCACTGTCATGCTGGCGGGTCTTGGGGAATGAGGGTCCAAGGTTTTTGGGTTTAGGTTCATTAGGGTTTGGAGTTTCGGTCTCCGGGGTTTAAATTGGATCTGAGGGTTTAGGGTTCAGTTTGGTGTTTGTCTTTACGGTATTTAGGTTCAAGGTTTAGGGTTCACTTGAGCCTAGGGTTCAGAAGTTTATCTGTCGTCTCCATCGTTTGGTTAACCAATTTTATGGTCAGGATCCCATAACATAGACAAGGCTATCCGAACGCAGGAACTAGAATGGAGACAAAGGAGCGTGTACTACTAATAATGATATGAACAATATGAATAACAATAGCCAGGGCAATAACAATATGTTACTAATGAGAATCAACAATAGCAAACTCGATTAGTATCAATAATAGTGGCAAAGATATTTCCCGGGGTTTGCCCCCAGGATTTCCGGGGCTCGCTGGACTGCGTGTTTCTTTCTGATTTCTACATTGATTTGGGGTTTTAAGGTTTATATGGTTTAGATTTAGGGTTTCGGGCTTAGGGTCTAGATTGAGGGTTTAGAGTTTAGGTTTAGGGTTTGGGGGTTCACAGGGCTTTGGGTTGCTACATAGGCTTTTGGGGGTTTAGAGTTCGATGGGAGGGTTTTACATAGGCTTGTGGAGTTTGGATTTGATGGGGCTTATTGTGTAGGGTTTCGGGCTCCAGAGTTTACGGTTTCATGTTTATGGGGACCTCGTTGAGTTGATTGGGGTTATGGTGGTCCCTATGAAGCAGGAGAGGCTAGGCTTGTACCATGCCGACAGTCGATTCATGTGGGTGGTTGTCAAAATTGGGGTTCCTTTTTGGGTACCTTAAATATTAGGCCCCGCTTTATATTAAGGACCCCAAAAGGGACCATATTTTTGACAACCACCCATGTGGTACTTGTTAGTTGAACATGAGACTTCTGAACCTCGGATGTTTGCTTCATTGGCCTGCCCAAGATCCTTCAGGACAGAAGCTGCCACGAATCTCTTTCCCGCTTGTTTTGGTGGGTAAGCTCCGCCCTGTTAAAGAAGCAATATAGCATGCTTCTGGCTTATGGCTTGCGAAGCTTTGCAATACTACGGGACTGCAGGACGCCCCGCTCATGGATGCTGGTTTAGACAGCTTGTCCATGGTGCCACCCTCAGCTTCTTGCTGTTACCTAGGTGTGGGATCTAGGGATTGTGGGCCGTGTTTCACCTTGTGCATCTAGGACCCCGAGACTGCTCACGCGGGTTTGCCCACAGTCGTGTTGCCGTTTGTCGATTCAATCTTTCCAGGATGTGTTTCCTGGTGGAGTTGCAAGTTTGAGTGGTCAGATCAGGCGGAGAGCTGTCAGGGTGTGGGGTCTAGGGTCCTTCGGTTTCTTCATGTACGAAGTTACTCGCTGAAGACCCTACACCCTTAACTCTGAGCTGTGCATCCAGCTCTAGCTCCGTCTCTGGCTTCAAACCCAGCAATGAAACCCAGCAACTTTTCCCCAAACGTGTTCTATTTGGATTCTCGAGCTGCGTGCGCGATCGTTCGGGGCAGTTTGGGTTTCTGCTTCAATTCCCAGAGTCCGTGAACTCGAACTAAACCCTAAACCCTTATCCCAAAGTCCATGAACGAAACCTGAATCGTCAACAGGTGCAGTTCAGGAACGCCCTGCAGCAGCAGTCGGCTCCCCACGGCGGGTTGGGTCTTTCAGGGTTTCAGGTTTCAGAATTGACGGTGCAGAGCCCTAAACCCTAAACCCTAAAACCCTAAACCCTAAAACCCCAAACCCTAAAACCCTAAACCCTAAAACCCTAAGCCCTAAACCCTATATAAACCCTAAAACCCTAAACCCTAAACTTCTACTGTTTCAGGGTTTAGGGTTCAGGGCCTGCTCTGCAACGCCAGGATTCGTGGCATATTACCCTAAACTCCTAAACCCTAAACCCTGATTCGTCTTGGGTTGGGGCCTTAGGGGTTGCAGGGACTGAGCTTTTTTCGCCACCTCTTCCAGAAGCTCTCAACTTTTGCAAAAGCTTTCAACTTCTCGAGAAACTCTCAACTTTTCCGGTGCTGTCATGGCCGACCATAAATTCAGAGGATGTCTGGCTTACAGACTGAATAGGAGGAGGCTTTTTGAGCTGTTTTTGGACAGAGACTGAATGGGAGGAGGTTTTTTGAAAGGGTAGCTACCTAATATTCATATTGATGGCTTGCAACTTGGAAGATCAACTACTTCAAAGGCATCCGGAGGTCTGGAAAACCCCTTGAGGATCAGCATGTTTCCAGTCACTACCCGGGGCCCTGAACTTGACATCCATTACCCAAGCCTAAACGCCTAAACCTATACTCCTTAAGACCTAGATCCTAAAACCCTCAGCCCTAGGCAAGTAGCCCGAAAGCCTAACCCCTAAACCCTAGACCTGACAGCTTCATCGCCCATGAAACATGTTCAGGATCCTGGCCTGCGACGTGCGACATAAATGGAAGACAGAAGTAAGTGTTTCTCCAGGTCCATAGCCGTAAGACTGATCGGCACAACAAGAAGTGTCATTACCACCAGACACCGTAGGCGCCTTCGCTATGACCCTTTCCGAGCAATCGCTGCCAATCCAGCCCGCGACGGTTTGCAGTTTAGCGGTTTCCCGCACTCGCAGCAGGCCGAAACCTTAAAAGGTCATTGCTCGGCCAATGTTTCTTAAACCTTTTTTGAGCCTAAATCCTGAACATGAAGCCCCGCAAGATTGTGATCGTTTCAGCTTCGTTCTTCCCAGGTTCCCTGGTGTCCCCATGCCTGCGTCGCTCATTTTTGACAATCCGTCCGGGACTCGGGGGTTTAAAGTGCAGTGTTTCGGGGTTAAGGGTCTAGGGTTTTAGGGTTCAGGGTTTATATAGGGTGTAACATTATAAGGGGGTCCACCTTGCATACGGATCAGTCGAGATTCTAGGCTGCTTGCAAAGCTGTCTCGGATTCGCGCCACACTGTAAACATCCCTTGCTGTGCGTGAGAAGTCGTATTCACATAGGTATCGGTGACACTGTTTTGAAACCGACAGTAGTGACTTTTTGGAAACGGTCACCCACTATAACAAAATCCAGAGGAGAGGAGGAACGGTCCAAGAACGATGACAATTGGCAGCAATCCGAGAAGCTCTCCATAGCTCAATGCAGCTACTCTTGGCATAGGCCGGACTCGAGAACCTTGAAGCACCGCCCCGCAACGCAATTAAGTGTTCTCCCTTAGAAGGGGCCCCCCACCCTGTAATAGTGGTATAATAGGAATATAATAGGGCCCTAATATAATCCTTATAGTCACTATTCCAGGGTGGGGGCCCCTTCTAAGTTCGCCCCCCTTGAAAGCAGCTCAACTCCTCTCCTCGCTGCCAGGTCAGTGCGCGCAGTCAGTCTTAACATCTACGAGGAGCTCAAGGCATCAGAAGAACGTGCAGAACCTCCGTCTTAGGATTTTGAAGGGTTTTATGGGGCGAGGGATAGCAATGAGTTAGAGGTTTTAGATGCTTTAGGATCGATCGCATGTAGGGTCTCATATTCTGTTGGAGTGCATAAGACTTAGTCTTACTCGTGGTACAGGTTAGGTTTCAGGGCCTGGGATGTTCTAAATAGAGTTTCCGGCTGTGTTGCTGTAGGTTGAAGCTTCGGGGGTTTTAGAGTTCGAAGTGTCGCGCTGTTGTGTACCAGGTGTGCACGATAATGGGAGACAGGTCGCGGATTTGCCCATGTCGCTTTTGGCAGAAAGTCTTTCAATCTTAGGGTGCGGATACATGCTGACTGTTAATAACGGATGTTGACGTTACGTATCGGACCTGAGATGCCATAACTGGATGTGAGAACGCTTCACTCTGCAGAGTCCACCAGCCTAAACACTGTAGATCATAGGCACTAAGACATAAACCACAATAATTTGCAGGGCCAGGCTTTTCATAGGGACGGGATCTGTATCGCTTCGGGTTAGTGTCGACAATCATATTTCTGAAGCAAGCCTCTGCCAGCCTTTGACCCTACACGGCCCTATAAACCCGAAAACAGCCCTAAAATAGTCCGACAGTCATAAACCTAAACTCCGAAACCCGAAATCAAAGATCCCCAAATCAATCAACAAAGCTCCAGAAACTCACCCACTCACCTCCTCTCGAAAAAAAGCGGTGTTCTAACACCTCAAATCCTAAATTCTAAACTGTAGTATCACAGGGGGCATCAGGCTCCAGCCTCTTCATTTCGGGCATCGTAACACATAAGCTGCAGACCTCGTAGCACTAGAGCCGGGAAAATTGGCAATGATATCCCCGAGCCATTGTATCAGTGTAGTACAGTGTACCAAAAATCCGATTCTACTTCTGTAAGGCCCCGATAGTACTGCTCCTCATGCATAGATGTATTCGGTTGCCGTTGGGAATGACATTGCTGTTCCTTTGGGCCCATGCTGCTCCGTTTCTGATGCCCTAAATGACGGTACTTACCTGGGACTGAAGGTTTGACACTAAACCATGACCCCTAGGTGGTCGAGTTCCTGAATGAAGCCTAAAGCTCATGGATTTGGAGCTTCGGTGTTACAATGTTACAGTTCCCAAGGGCTTAGGGCTGGGTCTGCAAGCCCTGAACTCTTCTGCTGGCAGTCTGCACACGAAGCGGGACGACCGCTTGTCTGAACCAGCAAAGCTCGGCGGGCGGCTTTCCCTCACGTGAAATCGGCACCAACGTACTGAAGCCAGAAAGAGGCTGACATGGGCAGACCCCACGGGCGTCCAAGCAAGCTAGGGATAAGGCGCCTACTTCGTCGTTTCAAGGATGTAAACCTTGCACAAACATCTCAACACCTCGACATGATGCTGGTACGGCAGACTAGTGGCACCCTTCCAATGAGAATGGAATCACAACGAGTACCATCGGGTTTGTGGCTTGGAGGTGGCATGAATGTATGGTTTGAACTCAGAGTGGACTAGTAGGAAGTCAGGTTATTTGCAGTCGTAGGTGAAGTTTGGGGTCCAAGGCTGCTCAATGGGTCTTGTTTCTGGAACTGGGGTGTTAGGGCACACTTTAGTAACTTTAGTAACTTTAGGCAACATACTAAGAGTACTCAGCATTCAGACTCCAATATTATCTTGATTTTGGGCTCCTGCAAAACAAAACATTGTCCGATTATCAGTGCAGGTAGAGTGGCGTTCTCAAGTTCCATCGGCAAATGCGGGACCATATCGCGGTTGAAGGTGTGGGTTTCAGGTATAATACATATACAAATACAAATGTATACTTATATTTATATATATATATATGTGTACTAATTTGAGTATATACATCTTTATATATATATATAGAGAGAGAGAGAGAGAGAGAGAGAGAGATAGATAGAGAGAGAGAGAGAGAGAGATGGAAAGATACGTAGAACAGATAGTTGTGTCGATACACACACATATATATAGAGAGAGAGAGAGATATATGTGCCGATCGTATATAAGCAAGACTAACTATATGCTATCGAACGGTTCGTATGTGCAACTGCATATCAAACCAGGCAGCCCGACACCGCCATGCTGCATGCGCAGGATCTCTCTCCTACCTCCCAACCCACCTAGTACTAGTACGAAAGTACTGCTAGCACTGCAAGTGCACAGCTACGCTGTTTCTTCCTCCCTTGACCTTCATTCGTGCAGCAGCTCTTCCTGGTATCATTACTGTAGATAGTATTGCTGGTGGTGGAAATTATAGTCACCAGCACTACTCCTACAACCATCACCAGTGCTACTATCACTGCACTACAACTACGACTCTACGACGGTGACACTGCAGCGTACTTTTGCACATGTGTCATCCTAATGTAGGCGCTGTATCTTCAAACATTCCGTCACGTGCAGCTGCCAAAGAAAACTGCCTGAACCCCCACGACATGGGAAGGCCGTCTGGTGTCACACAAGATAATAGCGCACCGCAGAAGATGCCGATGGCTGGAACATCCTGCTTCCGTCGAGTACTTGATGCAAGCTCTGAGATGGCTATCCAGCAAATTAGACCCTAAACTCCAAAACCATGCAGCTTTTTAGAAATAGTCGGACCCTTTCTCTATAGACCCTGGACAGGGGATCCTATGTTTAAGGGATGTTCCGTTGCAAAAGAGGAGTTCCTTTTGAGCAGTTTGTCTTCCAAGGTGCAAGCTTGGATCTACGCTTCTTGGCAAAAGAGCCGATGCACGGGTTCCAGTCGCGGGTTCGGCAGGGGGTCTAATATAGGGACCGAAATACTTACCTATACGATTTTGGGGGTTCCTTGAACAAAGCATCCTGTGTGCTAGGGTAGGTAACAGATGGCAAAGAATGAAGCCTTCAAGAAGATTTGGTGATGCCGTGATGCCAACTGTCCCCTCCGTCGGGATCCTCAAGCCTTGAACCCTAACTGCAGCTTCCAATCAAGGGTATAGGGTTTAGGGTTTAGCTGCCTGGGTTCCAGCATGCTGTTGTCCTCTTGCTCCCAGCTGTCCAACTGTAGCCTCACCCGGAGCACCCGACACTAGCCAGCAAGCCAGCTCTCACAATACAGCCTGAACACTAGCAAGAACTGAAACTACGGAAACGTTTTGATAGTCAAAAACCGCGGAGTGCAGCATTCAAGACGGCGGTGTTGTTGTGTAGCCGTCAGAAGCGACACGCAGCCACGGTTTGCCGTAAACCCTACACCCTAAACCCTAAACCCTAAACCCTAAAACCCTAAACCCTAAAACCCTAAACCCTAAACCCTAAAACCCTAAACCCTAATCACTGCAACCCCCACCGTAGTTGGGCCCAGAGCCTGCACCCAAACACGAAGCAACACTGAGCTGCTCTTCTCAGTACCCAGAGGCTAGATAGTAGTTCCTTTGTGGGGTTCATATATAGAATCCTATGGGGTAATCCCAAAAAGGAACTACTATGGAGCCTCTGGGTAAGCCCTCAACCCTAAGCCCTTAAACCACACAAAACCCTCATAGAACCCGTTTAGATCCTGGAGAGCTCACCCAGAGCTGTGCTCATGGACGCCGGGGCCGTAGCGGCCGCGAAACGTACCGGCGGAAGCCTCTCTCACCAGCTGCGACGGCTCTTGAGGCGGCACAGGGTGTTTAGGGGTTTAGGGTTTAGGTCCGGGTGTTTAGGGTTTTGGGTTTAGGGTGTTTAGGGGTTTGGTTGCTACTGTTATTGAGTGGGCGGGGATTTGGGATCGAAAGAGGGTGAGTGTCAAGGTTTTTGTTGTTGTGTTCAGCGTTTGAGGCGATGGTCCTCCGTCCGCGCTCTGCTTGGCGGCAGCGCCACTCGCCTGCTCTGAGGGCGGCCACCATACATCCTCAGTACGGAGCATACCTCCGAACCGCGGAATATGCCTATGTAGAGCCGCAATGAACCTTCAAAAGTCATGTTGGCCCAACCCCCTTAAATCCTAAGTCCTAAGCCCTAAACCCACCCCCAAAGAAAGGGCCTTTACACTTTACCTATAGTCTCCATTGTAGTTCCTTTTTTGGGTTAGCCAAAATCTCTATTATAGGGTCCTAACCATAAGATTGGATAACCAAAAAAACGGAACTACAATGGAGACTATAGGTAAAAGCACCACCCCAAACCCTGACGGTTGCTTTCTTAGGGGCTCAGGGCTTAGAGCTTCAGGTTCCTTCTGCACGCAAGGGTGTTCATGGCGTCGGCTTCATGGATTCTAGGGTCTAGGATTTATGGATTAAGGTTTAGGCTTTAGGGGTTAGAGTTTAGGGATCAGGGCTCGGGATTTAGGGATCAGGGTTTAGGGAATAGGGTTTCACTCACCTGCATCATGAAGACAAGTCTGTGGAACGAGAGAAGAAGAAGCCAAGGCGACCGTTCTCGTGGCCGCCTTCCTGTACCTTGGTTCAAGAGCAGGTGTTAGGCCTAGGTAGGAGTTGGACGGTTTTGGCCGCAAGTTCAAGGTTTCAGCCGTAGGACCTTTGACCCAGAATTAGCTTAAGTTTCCCTTGGTCTTGCATGTTCGGCGAACATGACTGAAGACACCTTCCTCACAAGAGGCCGGCAGTCCGGGCTCCAAACTCACTCCTGCCAGAAACCTTTCACTTCCAAGCCCAGCGCAAAACCCCAAACCCGTCAAACAGCAAACGATAATCCTGAACCCTAAACCCTTAAGCCCTCAACTTCCGGGAACGTGCAAAGATTGAAGAGCCGGATTCAGGCGAGACCTCCCACTGGGGTTCAGGGTTTGAGGCAAGGTTTCTAGGTCAGGGTGTAGAGTTCTGGTCTGTTTTCGGGTGTGGTTATTTGCTGAAGGCGCAGTTAGGTCTAGGGCCCACATCCCGAAATCTGGAACCACCAACAAACACCGAACCCAGGAATTTCCTTCTTCCTGCTTTATGCAGTAATTCATTCGACGTCCTTGGTTGACCCACTAGGATGCCCAGTAGTACCCTTATTCCCTTTTTGTAGTCCTAGGTTCCTATAAAGTTACCCAATACCAAAAAGAGAGGCCTTTTTACTCTTAGGTTACTGGGTATCCTAGCCAAGGTACAATGCCCTGGCCCGGTGGGTCCGCCGGGTGTCCAGCAAAGCCCAGGTCACCGTGGTGCCGAAGGAGCGACCCCAAAGGGTCCAAAGTACCTTTATAGTAGAATGTAGGATTTCTATACATGTTCCATTAAGGGCTTAGGGTTTAGGGTTCCTTTAAGGGCTCCTCTAAGTACCTTTATAGTAGAATGTAGGGTTTCTATATCAGGAATTACTATTATGATGTGGGGAAGTATCCCCCATAACAGTACTTAGGACCCTTTGGGGATTGAGGGCTTATGATTGCGTCAGTCATGTTTACAGCAACAGTCCCATTGGCAACGCACGGAAACCAGGATCCTGAAATAGTACACAGACACACACAGAGACTCTCTCTCTCTCTCTCTCTCTCTCTCTCTCTCTCTCTCTCTCATATATATATATATATATATATGTATACTTAAATTTTTACAAGATTCACTAGTCTCTATACCGCAGGGGGTGATTTTCCAACGTTTCACACACAAGTGGCTCTCTAGCTTTCGGCACGATGAACCCTCAGCTTCGCGAAGAGAGCGGTTAAGTTCGAGGTTGTGGCGCTCGTGTTTACATGCCCTCCTGATCAGCCGTGCACATCTAGATCCTTACAGCCACACACCCAGTTGTGGTAAGAGGCGCATTGCTGCAGGGACCACGTCTAAGTGTAAGCCACACTGCTGCCAGCAGGATCTGTGCCGCAGGTGCCCCCCAAGAAACTTTTGGAGACCTAAATTTAGCTTGGGGTCCTGTGACAGGCTTGCCTAGAGGTCTCCATCAATAATAGTTGTTGCATGTTATTGCCGCTGATCCTTTTGCGTTTTGTTCCTCGGCCCAGTTCAAGATCGGTTGCTTCCGGAGAGTTCCCTTGCAGCTATCGCGCCCGGAGTCATTCGCAAGTCCATCCCTAAACCCCTCTCCAGCCCAACCCACTCCCCAAAGCTGAAGCCTAGAACATACCCCTGCGAAAGCCTGAACCACATTGGCAGTTCTCTAGATTGCGTTCCCTTTAGGGTCCTTTTCTGCTCAGGGTGTCGTTTTTTTTTTTGGGGGGGGGCCCTACTTTGAGAACTGCCAATATATCGCGCAGTACGGTGTACTCGGCTCGAGTCCCTAAATGCAGAGTCGTA